CCTAACCCTAACCCCATGTGATGTCGGCTAAATGAACTTTCGGTGAAATGACTGTCGGTGAAGTGAGCGGCACCGCAATAATTTAGTATCACATAGTTTTTGCAATATTGTTTATTTTGGACGTCCCAAATTGTTTGAGTAACATTACTAGTAGTGTTATCGATATAAATAAAAGAATAAGTAGTTTTAAAATCAAAATTTAAATCACCTAAATAAGGTTTTTTCCCATTGGGTTTTTTTCCTACGTAGGCAGTATATATTTTATTATTATTTAATATTTAAAAATATTTATTATATAAAATATATTAATTAAATATACATTAATTATTAACTGTTAACTATAAATATATCTAATTATTGCTAATATAAAAATAATATAATTAATAGCAATACATATTAAATATCATAGCTACTTGATCAAACATTAACCGGTCATTTATCGGTTATGACTGGTTATTTGACCATATAACCGACCGTGGTCAAGCGGTTATAAGTCAATAACTGATAATGACTGGCCGATGACCGACCATAGCCGACCGAACCCATCCCTACACCTGATCCTGAATTTTCATTGGCTAAGTTTGGGTTGGAAGCCCCGTTTTCGGAAAATTGATCCTACGCCCTGGCATTGTTACCTTTAAGAGCTCTAATTAAAAAAATTTCTTGCTAAATTTTGCATATACTAATGCCTTTGCTAAAAACTTAGGCTTCACATTAACCCTAAAGTAAACAAAAAGTGTTTATAAAAAATTAAACCCGTGTGTACAGTTAGTAATTTTCTTTTTAAAAAAATAAGAAGAACCCTCCGAAAATTGATATATTTTTGACTAAACAATTGTACCGTCCGAATATTTTTGTGTATAAAAGCAATTTCTATTTGTGTATGATTTTATTTATATCTCAAATAAACTACCAATACGTAGTGCATCAGTAGTTGTGAATTAAGAAAAACTAAGAATAACCTAATGTGAGTTTTCATTGAGAAACCAATCATATTTCAATATTAGGTGTGATATAAAAATTAAAAATTAAAAAAAGAAGGATTTAAGGTAATAAATCCTAATATTAAGATTTGAGTTAGGATGTGAACATGTGATTTTTGTGATCATTATGGCGGAGAATCATTGAGATTATTCAAATTTAAGAATCTATATCATATTATTGCGCTTTGCAAAAAGGTGTGACCCTGTGATTTTCTTTGTGATGATAGAGAAAAATTTCTGTGATTCTAAATTTTCTATTGATCAAATATTTTAGTATATACCGATACGTATTGTCTAAAATCTGTAAAATTCGGAAAAACACCTAATTTCCCGTGGTTTTCACATGACATTATGATCTGCAAGGTCACACCTTTTTGCAAAGCGCAATAAGAAACATTACATTATACATATTGAAATGATGGATTTTATACGGCGAGTCAATCGCTTGACTATGAAAACCTTGCGTAACCTACGAATGGCTTAGTCGAAAGAGGGCGTTTAGATTTGGTCGATGGTTAGGGCTCGTAGGTGAGTGATTATCTTTAATTTCTTAGTGTTGAGTCTTTTAGGGATTATATCGGTAATATTAATCTTCTCTTTTATTAGGCGGACCACTTGGGGGTTTTATCTTTATAGAATATGGACACCACAGTTCGTCGGGTATTCCAATATTCGAAACCACAGTTACCACAGTGCGTTGGGTAACTGGAACCAAATTATATAACCACAACCAACCACAATACGTCGGGTTAGTTGGACAGAAAGACCACGGTTAATCTTAGTACGTCAAGATTAACCGGACAATTTGCAGGGTCAGTATCACGTAAACAAGACAACAGTAAACGTACTGTATGTCTAGTGATGTGCCATTTATATAGTGATGTGCCACGTACAGTACTATACGTACAGTACTGTACGTACTGTACGTACTGTACGCTAAAATTTTGACAGTCATTTTATAAGTTCTGAAGTTTAGCCATAACATTTACGAGTTCCTAAATATTCCGAACAGATTACGGAATATTCCGAAACTATGGTATAAAAAAAATCCTAATATACGTACTATACGTACTGTACGTACTGTACGCTAAAAAAATCCGAGTATCATATAAATGGCACATCACTACATTTATATGATACCCAAATTTTTTTCGCGTACAGTACGTACAGTACGTATAGTGCGTACAGTTGTTTCTAGCTATCTGATTGGTTGGGAGAATTCACCCGAAGTGATCGGCAAGAATTTTCGCGTACAGTACGTATAGTACTGTACGCGGCACATCACTATGTATGTCAATTTAACGATGGATCGGGTTATAGGAGTAAAAAGGGGTTAATTTAGAGAATGTATTGTTTATTCGGAATTCAATGTATTATAAATAAATATTTATTTTAATAAAGAGTTCAAGTTTTTAATAGTAAAACTACCAAGAGTTATCCTTTATTATGAGCGAATTCGCTCTTATATATACATATTACAGCACTATGTTTTACATAACTCTTTTATCATTTATAATACTTAAACATATTTTAATATTTTCCTTTCCCTCCTTAATCCCTTTTTCCTACTAAAACTCTCTTATACCTTTTATTACATAAAAGAGTTTTAGCTCTTTTATCCCCGGGAAACCCATTAAAGGTTAGAGATCTGCATACCCGTATGCAGATACTGCGGCACTCTGACCTCCGACCCTCACGAGTTACTTTCACGTTTTACAATAGATTTTGTGCTCTGCTCATCAATTTTCACAAACACAAAATCACGATAGGCATTTCTATATACGTTAAAATCATTTAATTTAGGCATTACTATTTAAAGTTAAGATCGATATAATAAAAGTATAACTTGCCGATGCAGATACCGATGCCGTTTTAGTCATCCATATTTATCATTATTTATAAAAGGAAATTCCCAAATTGAAAATTTAAATTTGAATAAAGTTTGAAGTATCTGTGACAAATGTCTATTATTAATAATTTAGATGAAATAAATTAAGTTATTTATTTTGAATTAAGACATTTACGAATCCTATTTATTTAATTAAGTTTATAAATTTCATATCCGGATGTTCTTATTTAAATTTTTTGATTTCGAGATTTAAAAAATTTAAATTCCCACTTATTTTCAAAATATGTTAATTTTGAATCACCTAATATAAGAATATTTTTGTTTGCAGTAATTAGAATATTAAAATAAATTGTTTATTATTTATGTCAAATTTATAAGACATTTAAAAACTTGGATTTTTCACATTATGAACTAGATTATTTTACGTACAATAAATTAGGAAACGATAAGACAAACAAATATGCACCATGTGTATAGAGTCTTTCGCCAAATAGCAATTGACTAAAAAGAAATTCGTATTACAAGCCAAAAGGGCAAAGGTTATAACTGATTTTATTTATTATATGTAAATATATAAAACCGGGTATCTAAGAAGTTCGATAAAATACGTAATTACTTATTTAGTGATTGTTGATTAGATAGTCACAATAATTTTCAAAATGGGAATTTCCAAAATTTTTAAACATGCATTACACATAATTGACATTTGCAGATAAGTGTAACTTAAAAGCTAAATACCAAGAATATTATATAATAAGATCAATATTCTCTGAAAATACGATAATACGATAACAGTATTTTATATCAATCATGGAACATTTAATACAAAATATTTTAAACAAATGTTCGCCCAAAAAAAACACAAAAGCAAACACTAGCAAAGAAAACACTACCGAAATTAATAATAATGACAATAATTTATCTTTCGATACAATATCCGATCGTGAAAATGCCAATAAAAATAGTAATTATGACAGCTTATCTTTAGATTCATTAGAAATTTGGGAAGAAATACCATCATTAAATTCAGTTGATTCAGATAATTCAGCAAGTTCAAGAGCAGGATCTATATCCGAAATTAATAATAATGATGACAACTTATCTTTAGATTCATTAGAAATTTGGGAAGATATACCATCATTAAATTCAGATAATTCAGCAAGTTCAAGAGCAGGATCTATATCCGAAATTAATAATAATGATGACAGCTTACCATTATATTTAATATCTGATCGTGAAAATTTTTCCGAAGAGCCTAAAAGTGATACTGGTACTTGCTCAAGAACATTAAATTCAGATAATTCAAGAGCAGGATCTATATCCGATTGTGAAACCTTGTCTGAAGAACCTAAAAGTGATACCCCTAAATCTGGTACTTGCTCAAGAACATCATTAAATTCAGATAATTCAAGAGCAGGATCTATATCCGATAGTGATTCTTCTACGCTGAATAGTAATGTTGACCTTCGTATTCTGCAATTGGAAGAGAAATTAGGAAAACAATTAGAAAGGCAGAGTAAAAAATTGAAAAAATTGGAGGAAGAATCGAAAAGAGAAAATTCGAAAATGCGAATTCAGAATGAACAATTTAAAGGCCAACTAAAAAAATTGGAGGAAGAATCGGAAAGGGAAATTTTGAAAATGCGAATTCAGAATGAACAATTTAAAGACCAACTAAAAAAATTGGAGGAAGAATCGGAAAGGGAAAATTTGAAAATGCGAATTCAGAATGAACAATTAAAAGGCCAACTAAAAAAATTGGAGGAGGTATTGATAAAAAACCAGATGATAAAAAAAAAAAAATTTAAAACTATCCTTAAAACTTGCAAGATGACCTAACTTGTATTTTAAATCTGGCAGGCAGTATGAGTTATCTCAGTAATTAATATTTTGCATTGACAATTTTTTTTACTGTAAAAAAAAAGTAGTATTTTTTCTTTTTTTTCCGGAACGTTGGTTGAAAGTAATCAATCATATTAATTTGAATTAATTTGTGTAAGAGGCTATGTGAGGCTGAAGGATGGCATTAAGCCTCTAGCAGATCAGGTCTCTTAAGATGTATAAAAGCACAGGTTGCCTCTTTAATAAAAACACTAGAGATAGAGGAGTTCTCGCCCTTCTTCATAAAGCGAAGTAAAACAATGATTTATCTCCAACTATCATTGATTCACGAATCCCACTTGGTTAAGTGAGACGTTGTCACACCAACCCAAGTTGTAACTGGAGCTGAACTATGCATGTATTCGCATGTATTGTGTGCTGCTCTCTGTTACGAAAAATTTCGGCATTATGAAGATCTTGCTAGATTTTTCCATTACGTATTACTTTATCATTGTTACAGTAGTATCAGTGGCTGTGTAGATAAGATCTGGGTTTGAAACCCAAGATCAGGGTCTGAGACCACAAATCGTGGTTTAAGACCCAGGATCGGGGTTGAGACCCAAGATATGATTGATAATAAAAATGTATAAGTAGCTTAATCTAATAAAGTAAAAGATATATCTTATTAATCAATTTCTTATCGCTCTTCTGTAATAATATCGTTATCTTATAATAAAATGCATCTTTCTCCCGCAATAATAAATGAAGTAAATAACATAATGCATAACATTTATTTAACCTACACTTATGTTTACGACTCTGAGTTAAATTGGTGCTGTATGATAGCTCTTAACATTTCCCAATCAGTCATAACAGTATACATATTTATTTTACTTAATTCAATCATGATCAAGATCACGAGGTATTATTATTACAAATAACACTTGATATAATAAAGTTATCAGTTCCAGACAAAATCTTTCTTATATCGAGATTTTCTTAATTGAAAGTTTTTTTGTAATAAAATTTTCAATTGGGATTTGTAAAATCTTTCTTATATAATTATGTACTTTAAGATCAAGTGATAGGCTTTAATTATTAATTGAATTATTTACTTTTGTATATTTACTTATTAAAAATGCATATTCGGCTTTATTGAACTAGAGATTTTATTATCTACTGTATTTAATATATATGGCATTTTTGATAAGAGCTTTACTTAGTAAGGTGTTTTAATCTCAAGTAGCATATTTATATTTTATAAATTTATTTGGACCTTCTTGTTCGAAAAGAAAATATACAATAATTTGTTTCATCATAAAAATCTAACTAAGCTAAATGATCTTGGATACAATTATCATGAAATTGGAGTTGAAAAGGATGGGCACACAATAAAATGATGATTTATTATCAAAAATCGGCTTATAAAAGCGATGATAAAAGAACATTTAGTTATCAAAATGGAATTGGACTATTTTTATTCGGTGAATATTTTCTACCGATATCTATTGGATCATCCGAAAAGTAATTTTATTAAAATTATAATGACTGTATGTTTAAAAGCCTATTTAGATAGATATTACATAATTAAGAAATAAAGCATAGAGAGACTTGATCAGTGTATGATTAAACTTTCTAATTTGTTATATTAAATAAACATGTAAAATTTGTGTTAGTAGACAAAGAACCTCTGTGCAGATTTTAGTTTTAGCAAAAGCTTTACTAGATAATATTACAACAACACTTTCATTGAACAATAATCAATCTAAAGAACCTAACAATAAAGAGTAGGTAAAAAAACCTATCCAATACTAAGCAAAATGGCACAAAAATGCAGAGAATTTTATTATCACAAAACATAGTTATTTAAATTAGAGTTAGGCAACCTCTATATCCAACTGGACACTGGACATATTCAATCTGTCCGGTGTCCATTGATCTATTGAAATATAAAGTAAAAAAATTGTTTAACATTATCCAATTGTTAATTTGTCTAACTATGAGTGGAAGTTTCTTGATATTAAAAATTGCAAAAGTTCTTGAGAACTTTTAATTTTTACTGGACAGCCGAATTGTCCAGTTACCCAACCTGATTTGAACGAATTTATTTTTTATGTAACATATAATGTTATTTTTAGTGAAACAAAGTATTTTAGTAGATTCATTGGATTTCACCAGATTTCATCAAATAGTTCATGACCAGATATAAAAATCCAGTGAATTGGGCAAAAAACAGTCGGATATCCACAGATCCAAGCACTAATACGTATAAGTTATTAAAAACCTGCTGATATGGGTCTTGCTGGTAAACATTTGCGCTTGGTAAATATTATAAAGATGGAATTGGAATTAAAAAGAACGAACATAAGACATTTATTTATTATCAAAAATCTGCTGATATGGGCTATGCTAAAGAAACATATATGGTTAGAAATTGTTATCGAAATGAAATTAAATATAATGAACTATAAGGTATTCGTTTATTATAAAAAATCTGCTGAGGTAGGTAATATTTCTGAAATATTTAATGTTGTTAATTATTTATTATTGAAATGGAATCGGAACCATAAGTGACTTATTAAGTGCAAATTACTGGTATTAAAGTAAATATGTTATTTTTATTCAAGATCTGTTATTTTATTCAAAGGATTATTTAAAATATATTTAATATAAATTAAGGAAAAAATAATTTATTAGATAATCTAAATATTTTATTTATATATGAATAGGTAGAGTTTATACTGTAGGAAATTACCATATATGATCCTGAAGTCTTGAATAGTAAAGCATATACTGTAACTTCTAATATTACTGGTACTTACTTGACATAACCATGTGTGAAATTTTGTATTGAATGGCCGCTTTTTGTGATAAAAGATTTAATGCGCGACTTCAAATTTACATTAAGCTTATTAGTAATATGTTAATATTTAAATATACTAAAAAGATAAAGTTCATTTATTACTTATATAAAACCTAGTGATAAAGTCACTACGTGTACAAATTATAATAGTTTATATTTTAGCAGGTTATGCTAGTATACTATATTTTACTTGGGTACAAATATATTTGTGTTAATAAAAAAATTTGCTTAGGCACTTAATTGCTTTAATAAGAGTTTCTGAACTAATTTATAGAAACTAGTTTCAGTCAAAAATAGGAGTAATACTGCATATTAATTACAATTACAATTCGTTTCTTTTAATTCGAAATTCTGAATTATGTATTCGATTTGTTTAGTTCTGAACATCTTAATGCTTGTTAGCTATAATTACAATCATGTTAAGCAAAGTGATTCGAGTCTATAATGTTTCTGAGCTTTATATTATTATCTGCTATTAATTTGCATATTTATGTTGTAGGTGGATTCGTAATATCAATAAATTCAGAATAAACTTAAGATGATTTAGGATCTTAAACTCAGGTAGTTAAGGATAGGCTAAATTTATTAGAAATTATTAATTATTTAATAGCGATACTTGATGGAAATTGCAGTTAATTCTAATCTCATCAACAATTAATCACACATCCCTACAGATGGTAATGGAATCTTATACGGTTATGCAAATATACTACTGTATATGAATAACTTTCAATACCTGTATTAAGTATTCGTATTTTGTTAATTACAGCTATTGTGTTTCACAATATTGTAGCTAAAGTTTTGATAATTTCTAGGTTTAGCGTTAAGTAATAAGTTTCTAAATATTCCGAACGGTTATCAGTTATGGAATATTCTGAAAAAATATAAAAATCATGTAAATGCACTTCACTTGTTGTGATTACCGGATTTTTTTTATTTTTATTTATTTTTATTTATTATTTTATTTTTATTTATTTTTTTTTTTAGAATACAACTACAGCTCTTTTATAACTTTATAACACTGAATAACATAAGGGGCTTTGAGATTATACTATTTTCTACTCTTTCTAAATCCTATAACTCCTTTGCTGATCACGCTAATCTTTATATTCTTTTCTTTAAGTATTCAGATTTCCTTATTCTTTCCTGAATCTTTCCTATCTAATATTTGCATCATTATCACTAACCTTCTATCAGTATCAGTAATTTGATTTAGAATATCAGGTGATTTATGGTACAGAAGTTTCTTTATAATGTAGTTATTACAGAAATGTCATATTTATCCTGTTACATTCTCTACTTATTTTATACATATTATACATAAAAATACTAGTTAGATTCATAATTAAAAGAGTCATATTGTTTATTTCTTTGATGTTTTGTTTGTAAGCTTCTTTAGACTCAACTCCTTTATAAGCATAAAATCATACTAGTGAATCAGTTCATACATTATTTAGTTAAGTAGACAGGATTTATGATTTCTAGAAATAAAGCTAAATGTTTTCTTTTGCAGATTCTTACTGCAAGTTTAATATTGAAATTAGATCTATTAAAATGTCTTTGTGCAATTGATACAATTTAAAGATAGCAAAGGTTAAATGTGACGATGCATAAAATGATGTAATGATAGTACTCATATAAAAGCAATATTCTAATAAAGCATTTTTAGAGCTTTTGGTATTGAGAAAGTATTGTGTTGAAACAAAAGTGTATTGCATTTCGTGTGCAATCGTGGATAACAATAAAGTGCTAATAAAGAAACGTGTTAGATATATTGATACTGTCAAACAACCTAGAGCTAGATATCTATAACTATGGTTATAGACTAACCCCTTGGCATTATCGCTGTTTGCAAAAAGGTGTGACCCCATGATTTTTGTGATGATGTGGTGGAAAATTTTAATAAAGAATCTTATAAAAGAATTCAATAGAGAATACGTAATAATTTGCTTGAAATCAATAACCCTATCTTATTAAATTCTCTATTTAAAATTTTCCTACATCGTCACAAAGAAAATCACGGGGTCACACCTTTTTGCAAAGCGCTATAAATTTAAGGTAAATTCAAAACTAAAATAACAGACATTTTTTATATTATATAGTCAATATTTATTTACATTATATAATTCCTCTATGTTAACAATTCTAGTACATGTAGTTGTCAATTTAGTTTATCCCTTCATTAATTTTACCAAATTGAGATTGTGACCAGGTACAAAGAATTAAAAAAATACCGGTAGCGGTAGATGCTTTTTTTATCAAATTTACTAAATAGGTAATTACTTTATTAATACGTACAGTTTGCCAGTTTTCATGGGAATATTTATCGTTATTGATATTTGTAATACCGATACCAATTGTTTTAATTACGTTAATATTTTTTCCAATTTCAGACTCATGCAAAAAAAATTGATTGAATATCGATAATCTTCGTTATAACATACCGATACATGTCAGTATCATAACGATAAAGGAAATTTCCTCATTTAATCATTAAACTGGGAAATTAACGTTAACGTTTAATTGTGATTGTGTTACAATTCCGACGCTGTATCACTGATGTATAAAGAACTGTTACATTGGTGGCATATATGAATTTCCTAATTAAGTATTTTCCAATTTTCTTGTTTACAGTATTATTTATCGCACGCATTAAACTTGTAAATATGAATATCTAGACGGTTAATTCCTTATAAATCAACTAACGCTAAGTCTTAGAGATGGGCAATTGCATGCATGGTATGCAAAACATGCAATTAACATGCAATTAATTCTGGCCAGCATTATGAAATTAAATCATAACTTTGGCCAAAACATGCATGCATGCATGCAAAAAATGCATGCGCATGTGCATGCTAAAATAGAAATTTTGTATTTTGCCCATCTCTACTAAGTCTTAATAAGTAATTCTATATTTATGGAAATAACGTCATATTTACTGTGTACATCAAATAACGTTAAGTATAAATTGTGCGGCTTTGTACGTAATACAAATGTCAACTTGTCATTTTCCTATTATAGTATTTTCTATAACAGAGCTTAAATTACTTTATTACCCTAAATCATTGTCCCTAAATTTTAATGTCCTCTTTCAAAAATTAGTGACCTGTCAACTCCACCCTGTATCAAAAACAATTTCTCTAATCTAAATAAGTATCGTAAAGCTCGTCAAATAGACTTGTGAATGACATTGTTAAGGATGATTTCTTATTAATTAAAGAGTTGTTACGATTACAGTTTAGCCCAGATTTGACTTTGGATAATGCTGAATAAATTTTTGCGACATCTCTGCTGCCATAGTATTGTCGTTAATTTAAACTTGAATTGAAGATCAATTATAGTTGTGAACAGAGTTGTAAATTACGATAATTTATAAATTTTGGTGGTATTATTTAATTATGGAACTCCTAGCTACATAACGAAATCTTATGATATAACAGTACTTTTCAAGTAAGCATTTGGTAATTTACCACAAAATTCATGGTAACTTACTGCAGTAACTTTCCACTATAACTACAAAAACTCCGGTTGTATATTTACGAAAGTGAAATCATTGCATGATCTTATTTAAACTATATTCAGATGTCACGTCTACTTGACATTGTAAAAAATTTACAAAGAATAAATGTATATACCGCGCCATGACACTTATATCTCGCACACCTATAGTAAATCATATCCAGGTGTAACATAAAATTAAAACAAACGTTTTACTTCGATTTAGTTAGGGTTAGGGCGGGTTGGAACCGGTTTTAATAATTCGGGTTTATCACATGAATTTTGCGATATTTTAATAATTCGAGTTTATCACGTGAATTTTGTGATATTTTAAAAATTTATCTAACCTCTAGTATAGTTTATATTAAAATTTTTTTAGTTAGAACACGAAGGCCGTTTCCTATGTAAAATTTTGAGCTATTGGAGATTC